ATTTCTCCCATTAGAAGGTAAGCTCTGTTAGGGTAGGGACTTTGCTCACTGCTGTGTCTCCTAGACCAACACCTAGATCAGCACCTGGTACATGGTAGGTGCTAAAGAAAATCTTGTTGACTGAATTACATTCCCAAAGCTAGAGGGAGTTCCCCCCTTCCATTGGCTACCCCACCCTTCAGGTTTACAAGACCCAAGAAGGCACCATTTGCATTGTGTCCTGTGTGAGTGGCGCCCCCTGGAGCCCACACAGCGCCGTGGAATTCCACGTGAAGCCTGCTTCCTGGAGTTGCGCAGCTGGGCTTTCTCGGACGTGCACAATCCCTGACATCAGACAGCTCTGGGTTTGGATTCTGGTTCCATCACTTACTGCTTGTGTAAACCTGGGCATGTATTTAAACCCTCTGTGTCTCAGCTTCCTCAGCTACATACTGGGGGTGATGACAGGACCTGCTTGGTAGGGTCGCTGTAAGGATTTAACACGATAATATACACAAAGTGCTTGAATATAACAATGAAACTATATATCTATGCCTGATAGTAGGGTAAGTCAGATGCTGAGAGATCCATATAGAAGCTATAGGGGCTAAACTAGACACTAGGTGATAATCACTACTATTGCTCCAGTCAATGGGTCACAAACTCCAAGGCAACCAGGGCTAGAAGGATCACTTAAATGAGTGAAGCAGGCAGGGTGGCCACTGGAAAGGCAGTGCTCCGTCTAAAGGGAGTAGCTGCTCCCCTGCTCCAGCCATGGTTTGGTGGGGGAGATGGCAGGTGGGCGAATCTTGGCTCAGTATTGCCAGAGCTTCCTGCTTTTCAGAGAAGCCTAAGTCTTCATATTTGCCTGAAATCTCACAGGCTTTAAGTACTGGCAAATAATTAATTCAGTGTTCTGGAACCAGCCTCTGCTAAGGTTCTAACTAGCTTTGTCACTTCCTGGTATACATTCCAAAAGTCTCTTTTAATTTTAATCAACCTCATTGAGGTATAATTTACCTGCAGTAAAATGTTCCTGTTTTAAGTGTGCAGATCCATGAGTTTTGACAAATAGATGCATACATGTGATTACCACAATAATCAAGGTATAGAATGTTTCCATCATCCCGAAAGTTCCCTGGGGTTCCTTCCCAATCAATCTTCACCTCTGCCTCCACCACAGCCCTAGACAACTACAGGCCACCCTTGCTTTATTGTCCTTCATTTTATTGCACTTTGCAGACATTTTTATACACTGAAGGTTTGTGGTAACCCTGCATCAAGCAAGTCTGTCGGTACCATTTTTCCAGCAGCATTTGATCAATTCATGCCTCTGTGTTGCATGTCATATTGTAATTCTCACAGTATTTCAAACCCTGCACCAGCAAAAAGATGATGACTTACTGAAGGCTCAGATAATGGTTAGCATTTTTAAGCAATAATGTATTTTAAAATTAAGGTGTAAACATTGTTTTTTTAGACATAATGCTATTTCAACCTTAATAGACTATAGTGTAATATTAACATAACTTTTTTTTTTAACATAACTCTTATATGTACTGGGAAATCAAAAAATTCATGGGACCAAAAAATTATTGCTATATTTGCTTTATTGTGGTGGTCTGGAATCAAACCCACAGTATCTCTGAGTTATACCTGTATCGATCTGCTTTCTGTCACTACAGATTGACTCTTCTAGAATTTTATATAAACATTTATATAAGTATTTACTCTTTGTGTCTGGCGTCTTTCACGTAGCACAGTGTTTTAAAATCCTTTTGAATTTTGTGAGGCTTGTTTTATGGCCCAGAGCAGGGCAAACATATCATAGGCCCTAGAAAATAATATGTATACTACACTGTTGGATGTAATGTTCTAGAAATATCAATTTAGTCAAGGGGGTTTCTAGTGTTGTTCAGATCCTCTATGTCTTTACTGATTGTTTTGACTATTTATTCCATCAGTTATTGAGAGAGAAGTGTTAAAACCTCCAACCAAGATTGTGGAATTGTTTACTTCTCCCTTTCATTCTGTCAATTTTGCTTCACGTATTTAGTTCTTCCATTTATGAATACTTGTCTACCTAATGAGTTGACTGTTTCATTACTTTAAAAGTCCCCATTTTGCTCTGATAACATTCCTGGTCTTCAGGTCTATTTTATCTAATGTTAATAGGGCCAGCTCCTGCTTCTTGGGCTTACTATTTGCATCCATTGACTTTTTTTTTTTTTTTTTTT